TTCGGGCAGCTCGGATCTTAAACAGAGCCGAAGAGTCAGGGGAGGAGCAGAACAGCCGCGGGAGGGGAAGTGCCCGGCCAGTATTTTCCTGGACATGTTCGGCTTTTGGGCAATTCCCCCCCGGATGGGGGTTTGATTACCAAAAAGCCGGACATGTCTGGGAAAAAACGGACGTATGGTAACCCTAACTAAACCGAATTCATGAAAATGGAGCGTGTGCCAGACAGTTATTACACCTTCCGCGGATGCACAGAAGGTCTGTCTCTATGCTGCAGGTCAGCAGGGTCATGTTTGAGGCATATGATTAATTTGCAGTTCTACTGCGTCCAGGGGCAGCAGGGGAAAAGGGAAAAAAAGAATCTTGACAGCATCAAATGAGGTAGAAGAGGTTATTGCTTAACAAGAGCCTTTAAACTATCTTTGTGTAAGACAGTGTCTAAAAAGTTAATAGACAAAGAATGATTTATTGATTAGCGGCATCGCATGGGGTGTTAGCACACTGACTGCAGGTGAATCCAGAAAAAGGCCTCTGCATGGTTCAATTAAACTTCAGCCAGTCATGTGAGACAATTACAGAAAATTCAGAAAACTGAAAATGCGACAGAGATGTGGAAGGCTACTGTCACTTGGCCTTTGGTGCCTTAAATAGAGCCTTTTGCCGGAGACAAAGGAGTGCAGTAGCCCAGAGAAGATCCTGTCATGATTTTTTATGTCAGGTATTGGGCCAAATAGCATATGCACCTTTCAGCATGGAAAGAAAGCGCACAAGGGACCCTCAAGCACAGTCCTGGCTAGACTGTGTGTAATGGACTGGAATAGCAAGTCAGGTCTGTGTTCCACCAAGCACTCCGCATTCCACCCAGAGACCTCCCCTATTGCCAGATTGGCGCATGGGCCGGCAAACACCTAAAGAGATGTAATAAGCGAAGCACAAGAGAGCAGGCAAGGGAGAGCAAGTTTTTAAAAACAACAACATAGGTTGGGGCTAGGAGCGCTGAGCTCTCAGCACTTTGCAGGGTCAGGCCCCATAAGAGAACCCACATTTACTGTGCCTGGTCGGGTATTTTTCTAACAACACATCAGCACAGGGTCGCGCATAGTGATGCTGTAAAGTGTGTGAGTGGCCACCCTCCGGGTGTAACCCCAGGTCGGGACAAAGCTGAAGTTTATTATATATGAATAGGATGGTCCTGGGATGAAGGTGCTGGATCAGGACTCACAAGAGCAGGGTTCAGTTTCCATTTCTGCCATAGACCCTAGGCAGATCACCTCTCTGTGCCTCATCTGCAAAACAGAACTCCCTTTCTGCCACTCCTTGTCTTGTTAATTTCTATTGTGAGCCTTCGGGGCAGGAACCAACTCTTTCCATGTGTGGAGCCCTGATCTCAGTCAGGGCCTCTTTATGGTTCCCTAATGCTAATAAGAAGCCACTGCTGGTGACTGCAGTCAGCAAACAGCTTATTTTCCTCAATGAAGGAAGATGTTAATCCAAGCCTGTATCATGACTGTGTGCATTTTTTTAAAGAGATTGCCGCCTAGTGTCCGAATTTCGATACACCTTTGTTAGCAACTGTGTCACACTACATCTCACAGTACACACACTTCCTATTGTCATTTACATTGCAGTAGCAACCAGAGGCCAACCTACCAGGGCCCCAATGTGCTAGGTACTGTACAGACATGCAGGAAATGGCAGTCCCTGTCCCAGTGAGGTTATACTCTAAATGACAAGACGGACAAAGTCGTAGGGGCAAACAAGCGGTCTAGAGAATGGGGGTAGGGGTGTCACAACAGGATGTATGCAAATCTTAGCCAATCAGGAGGAGCCATCAGAACTGACCACTCCCTTATTGCATTCCAAAGTTATAGAAGCGGAGCTGCTTGGGAATTTTCCATTTCAGTTTGGGATGCTGAAAACAAAACTCTCCAACATTTCCAAATCAAAAATGTTGGGACCTTTTCATGCTGCAAAAAATGTCACTAATTTCAGCTTTCCATCCCAGTTCAGGATGAAACAAAAGGTTGACATATTGGAATGTCTCACCAGATAAGAATTTCTGCTTAAGGCTCTGCTCTGCACAGGAAGTTTTACCCATCAAGCTCGTGGACGGTGTAAGCAGGCAGGCAGATTCGCCAGCCAGCAAATGGTAAAAAGGTAAAGCCCATAAGTCAGATCCAAGATCCAAAACATGAGCAACGTGACTCAGGACACCAGGTCACAGCCAGGGCCGGCTCCAGGCACCAGCGAAGGAAGCAGGTGCTTGGGGCGGCCAATACAAAGGGGCGGCACTCTGTCCTGTATTGGGGCGGCACCTCCAGGTCTTCGGCGGGAATTCAGCAGCGGATCCCTCAGTCCGTCTCTTCCTCTTTGAGCTGCTGCCGAAGTGCCGCTGAAGAGGAAGAGAGGGAGTGAACGACTCGCCGCCGAATTGCCGCCGAAGAATGAAGCGGCGCGATTGAGCTGCCGCCGAAGTGCCGCCGATGGGCTTTTTTTCTCTTTTTGGCCGCTTGGGGCGGCAGAAAAGCTGGAGCCGACCCTGGTCACAGCAGCCAGAGACCTTTCTTTCCAGTTTTCAGTAAGCAGAAGAAAGAAGGAACACGCCCTTCTCCTGGCCCCCTTTTCTGCATTTCCCCCCGTCCTATCACAGCCCCGCCCTAGATGAGTCAAGAATCAGGCAGGGAGCCAGGGAACCCTTTACATGCCGAACACAGGCAGAGCCTTTCCACCTTCTCCCAGTGGCGCTGTGCTCCTAAGTCACTCAGGAGCTTTTGAATATCCCACTTCTTGTGCTCAAAAGGTTTGTATCCTGGGCTCTCATTTGCAATACACATTTAAACAAGTTACAGTATTGATTGTAGAGTGCCTAAATCTCATCTGCTCTGCTTTTTGTTTTTCCTTCCTCCAGCTTATAGTCATTTGTGTTTGCTTTGATGGTAACATACACAATGAATGCTTTAACAAGGCAACTCATATATGCCAATAAGTTCAGTCGATAACTGACTTCATCATGTTCCTATTACACCACATGGGTGCTAACTACAAAATGTGACCTTTACTGGCTGCTCTGAAGACACTGTAATTCATTTCTCTGGGTGTGAGTTTGACTTGTCTGACAGTCATTTGCAGAAGAGAGCACTGAAATCACTTCTAGAGGCAAACTGCATGGGATCATGAACACCCTTCTCTGGCCGAGGTCACCTCCGCATCCGTTGAGAGCAGGGCGGTTGCTTTCGCTTTGCCAATAGCTGGCACGCCATTAGAATTCCAAATTCTGATAAGTTGTGCTGTGATATGGAGGAATCATGAGTGATGGGGCAGTCAGCTGGAATTAAGAGGTCCAATCATTTGGGATGCAATATGGGGATTGTGTCAGACTAAACTGTAAATTCAAAATCCCAATTACCTTCACTACAGTGCTTTGCCTTCACTATAATATGGCAGTCAGTGAGCTAGGTCAGCCAATCACCTGTCGGAACCCAGAGCAGTTATAGTACTGTTTGTTCCCTTAGGGAATAACAGGCATGCTTCTTATTGCACTAGTGAGTAACCACAAGTCAAAGCATTGAGGGTTTCTCCACAGATACAAATACAGCAGAAAGCTTTTGCAATATGCAAAATAAAAACACAAACAGCAGTAAAGTAGCACTTTACTCTGTGGTAGTTTTTGTCATGTGAAATCTAAAGAAGTTAGATCAACATGATTTTCAATTAGTATAAAAATTAAGAGGATTCTGTTATCTCTGCTTATACCAACATTATTCCAAATGCAAAATAAAATTGTTAATGAAGAGAGAGTTGTGCAGAACTTAGGTTGGAGTTTGCTAAGATTTGTTTCAATGTTTTCCAGTTGGGTTCATGTGATTGAGTTTTTTATTGAGTTTGGGGTTTAAATAAATCAAAAACGTCTGAATATATCTGAAACCAGAAGTGTCCGCTGGGATTTTATTTAAATATATAAACCAACCCAAGTTTTCCTTATCAATCCTTAGTGAACCCTTCAATGAACACAAACTCAGTTTTCAGTTTGTAAGGTAAGCCCAGCAGCAGACTTGGCTTGAGGTTTTAGTCATTTTGCAGAGCTCTAAATCATAGCTTTCCTGACATTTATTGGAGTCGAAGGACCTAATTCTCTTCTGACCTACCATGGAGTAAATCAGGGGTAAATCCATGGACATCAGTAATGTGACACCAGTATAAAAGAGGTGGTAAATCAGGTCCCTCCATTACATGTGATTTGCTACACAGATTCAGATCACTGGTCCTTCCTGTCCAGCATCCTGACTTCAGCCCTGGTCAACACCTGTACTTCAGACAAACATATGAATAGCAAATCCAAACTATAATACAGCTAGCCAATAGCATAATCCTGCACATTGTGGGGAAACGCCTTCCTGATCTCTGTAGTGATCAAATTATGCATATACCAGGACATGAGATTGCCACTCTCTTTAGTTGTGGACCTAAAATGAACCAGTCCTTTTGAAAACTCCAGTTACAGTTTCTGACTATATATTCACTGGGGACCAAGAGGAGGCTGTTCTAAGTTTTTGGTAAGGCTCCTATTCAAGACCTGACTTTGGCTATTATCAAGACACTCTCTTTGAATCCAATGATACTTTTCCCATGGAGCTAGTATTAGGATTGTTTGGGATGCAATGCACCAGTGCCCTGTTGTTGGCTATTAGATTTTACTGTCCAACTTGACCTTTCAGTTTGTCTGCATGCTCAGTGAAATTACACAGGCTCTTGGCATGGTTGGCTTTGTCTAAAGGAGCGGGCCCTCTTTTTGTCTTTGTTTCCCTCTAGTTATGGTGACATGGTGCCCAAGACGATTGCTGGAAAGATATTTGGCTCCATTTGCTCGCTGAGCGGAGTGCTGGTCATTGCTCTGCCTGTCCCAGTTATTGTTTCCAATTTCAGCCGAATTTATCATCAGAATCAGAGAGCTGACAAGCGAAGAGCACAAAAGGTAAGTCCCATTTATCCCAGACAGCACCTTTCACTGACAGACTGCACCGTTTACAGTCACCCCGCATTAATGGTGATACTGCTTTACTGGTAGTATCACTAGCAACGCAGACGCAACATGGGCATTTTATCATGATGGGAGTTGCTAGCATTAAGGGAAGAATAAAAGATACACACAAATCACAGGGCTCGGTCACCTAGACCATTCCTCCACAGGGGAAGAATTGTTCCCTATGATATTGTAACAAATCCATGGTCACGTTGGAATTTCACTGTTGTCCCTGTGTCACACAGCATGGCCATTGGGAACTTTATGGAAAAAGCAGGGATAGAATTCACAGCCTTCTGCTCCAAAAGCCCAACTTGCTACACTTAAGCTAATGGCAAATCTCAAAATCATTGTGTGTAAGTCATATGAGACACAACTGCCACTTCTGTTTCTATCTAGTAAGGGCAGTGGTACACACACACACACCTTACCTACCTCTACGCACATGTGCATTTACTTACGCCTATACAAACACACTCATCTGCCCACATCTATGCACACACAATCTAGTTCACTACAATGTATTTTCATCTAATCTTGTTTTAAATGTATGAAGCAATGGGGTTTCCATTGCTGCCCTTTATTACACACCAGCCTGGTTCCACTGTGATAAAAAATGTACATCCTTATTTTTTATCTTTATCAGGAGTTATTCACCCTTTTGGCAGTGTGGTCCCTTTGTAGTCTTATCATGTCCGGGCTTTTTTAAAAAAATAAAAAGCTACTGCATGTAATACAGAATTAAAGGCTGGCCATAATCAGCAGCTCCTGGGAATTTCTGGGGTTTACCAGGGATATACTAATACATTCAGTGCAAAAATATAATGCATGTATTGCATTCTTCATTTTGGACCTGCCAACTTATACTAGAGCTAGGATTGCAGAATCAGGTTCTTATAGCTACTAGAGACTAAGGCCCAGTCTACACTTAAAATTTAGGTCGACCTAGCTATGTCGCTCAGGGGTGTGAAAAATTCACACCTGAGAGATGTGGTTAACCCAACTTAAGCCCCAGTTTAGACTCTATTAGATGGATGGAGGAATTCTTCTGTCAGCCTAGCTACTGCCTCTCGAGGGGATGGCTTACCTACAGCAATGGAAAACCCTTTCCAACACTGTAGTAAGTGTCTACACTATGGCTGTGTAGCTGTGGCGCTGTAGCATTTGTAGTGTAGATCTAGCCTAAAGATTTCTTTTCTTCTATGAAATGTTGTCTGCCAGGAATCCAGTGTTAGGGGACTCGATGGAGGGTAGTAGAAGAAAGATGTGTTATTTCTACCCCAGGCAAGTATCTAGGGTGTGTCTCCATCTTGCATCTCAGAGGGCAGAGATGGGACCGGCAAATTCACAAATGTTGGCATTCTGGACCTCTAGGATAGCAGCAAGTGGACAGCTGCCATGCAGAAATGAAATGCATCTGCTATATATTAGCTCTGGGTGTTGCATCTACATTCAAAATGGATTTGACAGTGTATATACTGTATATCCTTTAAAATCTTACAAAAAATCTCCATTTTACCAGCTATTTGAAATGTAGAGTGTAACACAATGTAATTTAGATGAAAAACATAATATAAATGCATAATAATGTAAATATAAAATATGTATATACACACACACACCTCTGCCCATTTGGTAAAAAGTGCCATCCACGCAGTTGTTTCACATGGCATTAGCCATCATGTGGCTGGTATGAGTCTCTACAGTAATTCATGTAGGACCCAGCCTTGCAATGTGATGTGACTTCAGTGGGACTGCATGTGGGCATAGGGCTCACACAAGCAGATCCCTTTGGGTTTAAATTTTAATGCTAAGTAGCTTATACAGCAGAGCCTCACTGTATTTCTATACATTTCCAGTGTTGTAGCTGTGATGGTCCCAGAATATTAGAGACACAAGGTGGGTGAGGTGATATCTTTTATCGGGCCAACTTCTGTTGGTGAAAGAGACAAGCTTTCGAGCTTACATAGACTTGAAGAAGAGCTCTGTGTAAGCTAGAAAGCTTGTCTCTTTCACCAACAGAAGTTGGCCCAATAAAAGATATCACCTCACCCACCTTGTCTCTGTATATCTATACTACAGTCCTACCATATAAATACCACAAATGGATAGGTTGGTGCATTAGATTAGATTAGAGTTGAAAAGCTTTGGTGTGTAGCAGTTTAGTGAGTATTTATACATATCCCCCTCCTCCAAGCACATCAATGATTTGGTGACATAGGCTCTGATCTGACATCTCTGAAGTCAGTGTACAGATTCTCAGCTGGTGTAAGTCAGCGTAGCTCCAGTGACTACATCAGTGCCCACCAGCTGAGAATCTGGTTCCGTGTGGATTTTGATCAGTGACAGCAGTATCAAGCCCAGACTTGAGAAGCCTCTAGGTAAACTGAGCTTTGGCTTCTTGGCTTTACGTTGTGGTGCAGCCTGGAAGATAGAATAAGTATCTATAGACTGGAAATCAAACTATCCAGAATTCCAGTACAGCCACCTGGTTGGACACGAGGTTATATTTCAAGACAGTGAAAGTCTAGCCTCTGCTGGTTCATCTTTGCAACTTCTAAATTGCTATGTATGGCATTTATTACAAGACGGGTTGAAGCAAGTAAGGTATCAATAGGCTGCATAAATTCTCAGCTATCACACCACTCTAAGGCTTTGTCTACACTGGAACTTGGTTGGCAAAACTTTTTTCATTCAGGGGTGTGAAAAAAAACACACACCCCCGAATGACAAAAGTTTTGCCGACAAAAAGTGCCGGCGTGAACACGCTTTGCTGGCAGGAGAGTTCTCCTGCTGACAAAGCTGCAGCCGCTTGTTGTGGGTGAAAGTGGCTACACTCCGCACCTTATAGTGGCACGGCTGCAGCGGCACAGTTGTGTCACTAAAAGGTGCATAGTGTAGACATAGCCTGAACTGCCTCATGCATATACTCCGGTTCCCAACTGCCTGTTCATGAATTCCTCACCCACCTACCTGCAGCTTGTCAATCAATTAAGTTAAACTATGTTCCAACCTTGATATTCATAGAAGGTCCTTAGAGAGGAATGAGGCCATTAATCTGAAAGTGGATTTCATCATTGTTATCTGTGGCTGAGATCACTGCGCTGTTCCAGTGCTGCTTCCTTATAGCCCCCCTGTTAAATCTGTGACATTTAATCATATGTAAAATCAAGCTGCTCACCTACCTACGTACTAGTGAAAAAGACCTGAGTGCTGTAGGTAGCAGAGGCGCAGGTGCCTGTTGGGAGGAATGAATGTTGTTATGGATACAGAACTATCCTCACACAAGTTTATATTTCATAGTGGAATAATTTCACTATCAAACCAGGAAGAGTGCAAGAATTTTCAAAGGAGATACAAATGACAGCAAAAGCCAAGAGGCTAGCTTCAAACCCCAGAGATTGCTATACAGTAACCGGATGGGTCTGTAATATAGCAGAGGGGATGCAGTTATGTCTCTGTTCTGGAGCTGAGCATCACAGGAACAGCTCAGGAAACAAGACAACCGAGGGGAGAGAAGAGCCAATGATATCTATCTCACTGACGCACACAGTCCATTCCAGCAGGCATAATGTTTAGGGCAGGGGTTCTCAAAGTCTTTCAGTGTGTGCACCCCATTTTACCATAGAACTGAGCCTGGATCGTCACTTCCTTCCACCGGTGTAAATCAGGAGTATATCTACTGAAAGTCCATGGAGTAATGCTGGTATAAAACTAGCAGGAGTGAGTGAAGAATCACACCCTTTGTCTCCTGGGCACCTCTCCACCCACTCATAATTGCCTACCATTACTCTTCCCAGGGAGTGTGAAGTGCTACCATTCTGAGCAGAGGTGTTTTACACCTCACCTTTGTATTTACTTTATACAGGAGTAAATGATTACATTCAGAGCTAGGCAGGAGAGACCTATGCCTGGTAGGTTGTAAGATATTGTAACCAAGACAGAGTACTTACATTCAGTGTATGTCTACACTACAAGCGCCACTGCTGTAACGTTGTAGTGTCAACACTTACCAGAGTGATGGCAGAGATTTTTCAGTTGCTGTAGTTTTTCCAAAAGGTGGTAGCTGGGTTGATGGAAGAATTCTTTTGTTGACGTAGCTGTGTTTGCAGTGGGGTTAGGTCAACCCAGCGACATCACAGCCCTGAACAATATAGCTAGATTGACCCAAGTTTTAGCTGTAGCCCAGGCCTCGGCCTTAAGTATCGGACACAAAAAAGGTCCAGCTGAATCTTGTTGTCGAGTGGGAACGTTAAATAATGTTCCCTGCAACAAATCTGAAAATAAAATAAAAACTGGTGATGGGGCTGACTTGTCTTTTTTATGCTTTAGAGACAAATATTCAGTAATTGACTTTCTTCTAACTAGCTTAAATAGCACCGAGGCACCTCCTTGTCTTTTACAGAAGAGACTGAAGTAAAGCTATTAAGCACTAAAGTGTCTGTTGCTAAGTCCAAGTGACAGCCATTGCAACAAGAGCTGTAATGAGTGGAATTTCTCCTGCAATAATGAACAAAACGCAATATATTATTAAATACAAGTTTTATAAACACATAAAGGAAATACACATGGACATGAATAAAATCAAGACTAAGCTGTAGGAGAAATAAATAAAACATGCATATGCTCCAGCATCTCACTTGCAATCAGAGATGACTGTAGAAAATAATTTGATTTTGTATAGCGTTTGCGATAGACAAGGAATCCCAAAGCAAGTTAGAAAGCACTGATACTGGTAAGGATGGGATATGAGGCGAAGTCTGAGCTTTTCAAAGCTGCCTAAGGGATTTGGGTGCCCAGTTCCCATGGGATTAGGGAATTAGGTGCCTAAAGCTCTTAAACTTCTTTGAAAATCACAGTCTAAATTCCTATCCTCTACTCTGGATGAGCGTTGAAGCATATTGTGGAGTCATGGATGGAAAGCTCCCTTCTCGAAGATCTCCCAGAGTTCC